GAAGGGAAACCGCTGTCTTCTGGAGCTGTCCTGAACAGCTGCGCTCCACGATCTCATCATGTGTGAGGAAGATGGTTCTGACGTCTAAAACAGCTAGGTGCCCTGGGCCACTCTTCAAGAACTGCCGGGCTAAGCACTGGGCAATCTTGACCTTCTCTAAAGAAGACAGACACACAGAGATGTTCATCTGGTGCCTGGACACACAGCCCATGGGACAGAGTTGATGCTAGTGCAATGCCCCTGCCTTCTCTCCCTGCCACTTGTCCCACCCTTCCATCCATAAGTGGGCAGGAACCTTCAAGTGGCCCTCCAAACCCACACAGAGCCACAGCAACATGCTCCCCTCAAGTGTTCCCACGCTGTGGCCCCCATGAGGGTCCAGCTCTCAGTTCTTAGCATCTCTCCAGACTCTCTCACAGTTCCCTCAGGATACCTGCCTGAGACCTGGGTCCGCACATGGTAAGCGATCTCCACTGACCCGTGCTACCTAAATAGCCCTCCCAGGATCTCTACTACCCACACTTAGGGGGTAACCGCTATGCAGAGCCCCTGCGGTGGAGGGATGCTTCACAGTTTACAAAGCATGGCTTATACCTATAATCCTCAGGACAGCCTGGACTTGGAGAGGTGTGTAGCCTGAGAGAACACCTTCATGGTCCCTGGGCATTTATTGTCATCTGATCCACCAAGCCACACCAGGCCTTTGCTGTCCCTCTGAACTCTACTCCCAGGGCTAAGAAAATAGGAAAAAGCATGTCCCAGAGACTCAGGACCATCACCCACTGTCACCCCCTAAGAAGAGCAACTCCTCAGGGAGATCCCGCTCCCTGCACTCCAGGTGGGAGTGTTCCACTTCCCACTCAAGGATGCCCAACAGCACATGCTCTGATCAGCACAGACTGGGCACATCATCAGGCCACACTATGACTCAGTATATGAAAACTGGTCCTTACAATGGGTTTGGCCACTGTAAGGCAGGAGTTGCCATGGTGAGCAACCAGAGACCACCAACCCATAATCAAGACTATAACAGCTAGGTGCCCTGGACCACTCTTCAAGAACTGCCAGGTTAAGCATTGGGCTGTGCTGACTTAAACTGTGCACATCTAAGACAAGGAATCAAAGACAGAAACTGTTCATGTTTCTTCCTGGGAAAGGGGGCATGTTGCTTAAATAACTGCCCTCATGGAGAGATTAGTAAGCACCACTTACCCTTATATCCCATTGATAAAAGATAGGGCTGTAGAGATGGTGCAAAAGTTGGGTGCATACTATTCTTCCAGAGGACACAATTTCAGTTCCTAGCACCCATATCAGGTGGCTCACAACTGCCTGTAACTCTAGCTCCAGAGGATCAGATGCCTCTGACCTCCGCGGACACTTGCATTCATAAGCATGTACACACACACACACACACACACACACACACACACAAAATTGGGGGGGAAAGCTGGGGAGATGGCTCAGTGGTTAAGAGCACTGGCTGCTCTTGCAGAGGACCCAAGTCTGAGTCCCAGCACCCACAGGGAGGCTAACAACCATCAGTAACTCCAGTTCTGAGGGAACCCAACACCCTCTTCCGACCTCCACAGGCAGTGCATGATATGGGTGCACTTACACACATGCAGGCAATACACTCATACACATAAAATAAAAATAGTAAATAAGACATTTAAAAATAAAATGAAAAATGCAATCAAGAAACAGTGAGACTTCAGTGGAGCCCCAGAGTCACCCCACAGATCTACATGGAAGGCGCCACTCACCCTGGGTGCCATTCCTGGCATGGGTCCATCAGGAGTGGGTACCTTGGGTAACTAACTGTGCAGTCACCAAATTCCCCCACCTCCTTGTGCCAGTCTGACTAGGGTACTGATGTGCACAACCACATTGCTGATAAAACCAGAAAAAAACCCAGAAACTCTGCATCCAGGTGGACAGAACATGTGTATGTCACTGAAGGTGGGACTTACTGCTTCAGGAAGTTTCCTGGTACAGTCTGCCCAGAAGCTAGCAGGGCTCAGCATCCCCACCCTCCTTGGTCAGGACAGGAAGGGAAACTGAACAGGTGCTTGGCCTACTCAGGAAGAATGCAGGAGGGACCATCCTGCCACGAAATAGACCAGTATCTTTCAGAAAGTGGGACGGTCCTGAGTGACCAGTGACAGGGTAGACCCCTGGCTGTACAGGATCCTGGAGCTTCCTCGGCCTCATGGGAGAGAGACAAGTTACCTCCAGTATCTTTGGTGGGAAGACAGGATGGTACCAGGCACTGTGACCTGAGAAGATTCCAGAACCTACTCTCAGGAGCAGGCATCTGTAGTCACCTGGCCTCCAGGGAAAGCATGTGTGAGGCAGCCTGGCAGGGCTCATTCCAAGAGCGACACGTGGATATGAGACGACTTTATGTTACACGGGGGTGGAGGCATGCATTTGCCTATGTCTGCATGCCATTAGAAGTACTGAAAAGGGCCACGTCCCCACCTTCTTGCTCTGCAGTCCTTCCGTTCAGGGGCCCTCAACTCCTCTTAGTCCCCTGGGAAGGAGCTTTTGCCATGAGTATAAAGCAGGCTCAGATTCAGGGTCAGAGGGGTCCGCAGGAGTCTGGCTCATAGTTCTTACACTCAGGGGAAGTTGGCCTTGCCTGGTCAATCCATGTCTGTGGCAAGAGGCCACAGTGGCTAAGGATCTGCATCCTTACCAATGTCCATATAGTGCTGAAGCTGCTAGCCTGCTTCACTCTATACCCCACACCGCCCCAATTAGAGAAAACTGGATTCAACCAGATAGACCCCAGGCTCATGACAGTGACCTAAAGCTCATTAGATCATGTTATCCGCATTGACATTCTGACCCCTTAATGAACTTTGCAAGTAACTTCTAGGCAAAGGCATGTACAGTAAGCAACAGGTTACACAGCTTTTGGAGCTATCAATCAAACTCCCAAATTCCACCCTGGGGGTTAAAAAGGAAAAGTTTAGGACAATGAAAGAGCCCTCTACACAGGAGAACTTGCCAGCTCTTCGAGAGGCCCACTCTCCTGTCCTGAGACTCCTTTTCTTTTCTCACGAGGCCTGGGGGATGCAGCTCAGTTGGCAGAGTGCTTGTCTAACATGCACTGGGTCCTGGGTTCGATCACCAGCACTGCATCAATGGAGCATAGTGGTGCATGCCTGTAATCCCAGAACTTGGGAGGTGAAGGCAGAGGATCAGAAGTTCAAGGTCAGCCTCTGCTACAGAGTGAGTTCCTCAAGGCCAGCCTTAAGAACAGCTCGGGGGAGCTATGCCAGCAGATAAGGCCACACCCACCAGTTCCACTGCCCAGCTGTCAGCCGCATGGACTGACAAGAAGCAATCACAGGCCACCATGAGCCATAGAGATGTGCAGTAAGGGCTGCCATACACCTCTAGCAGATTCCAGGTGGCTGTGTTGGTGACGATGCTGGTTTTAAGCAACAGTTGACCAGGAAAGACGAGACGGGACAGGAAAACGCTTGGTGTGTCTGGCGTCGTTAGACCCGTAACAAGGATGGTGGTTTTGTCCAAGCCACAGTCATAGGGACAGGTCACACCCCCAGGGCCATGGGCAAAGTGGACAGCCTATCTTGTCATAGCAGCTCCACTGCTTGTCTCCACATCTGGCTACTTTGCTAGGGACGCAAGCTCTGATCCCAGCCAATGGTTCAGGAGACAGAACAGAGATTGAGATCAGGTCTGTCTAGCCACATCAACAAGGATCCATTTGCATATCTTGTGAGTGTGGTGAGGAAGACCATGGAGGTCCCCCCAAGTCACGGGGTGAAGCCGTGTCTGCAGCAAGTTCCCTCTGGGGTATTTCAGGAGACTCCTGCTCAAAGGACAAGAGCAGCCAATCTGTGTAGAGGGTGGGGCAAGTCCTACCAGGACATGGGGAGGCCTGGAGACCAGGACATGGGGAGGCCTGGAGACCAGGACATGGGGAGGCCTGGGTTAGGGCTCCAGTTGCCCAGTGTTTGGACTTTCCACCTAATGAGGCCTTTCTCCCCCTTGTGGTCTGACGCACCTCCCACCAGCCCAGACTCGGCACCCAGGGCCCCTAAAACTCTATTTTGGAGCACCCCAGGACCCCAAAGCAGGGATGAGCTACTAGGGCTATATCCAGCCTGGAAGCCTGAGCCCCCTTGAGCAGGCTGGGTCACCTGGGCCACCCATCCACTGCCACCCCCCAATTCTTGCCCCCCTGAAGCCTCCAATTACAGTGGCCACACCTGCTTATTGAAACACATTTGCTCCTGTCTCCCTCAGCCTCAGGGTCCCACGGGCAAGGTTTTACCTGCTCTCATCCCGGACTCTGCAGTGTGCCCCCAGTAGATATGCAGGGTGGCAACTAGCAGGTAGACCCAGAGACCAGGCCTGCACATTTGAGACTAGAGGAAGTCGAAGTGGCCTTCTGGTGCTGGTTGGGGAGACAAGGTCTTCCTCAAGGATATTTATGGTGGGGAAGTTTGCATGTCAGGCTGTCCTGAGAAGATTAGAAATGACCTTGGGGGCAGTGATGGGCATCACAGAACATCCCTGAGTGCCAATTTGGACAGCTGGGCACCCATTCCTTACAGCTCCCACTGTCCAAACTTGAAACCTGTGCACACAAGTTCACCAAGGGACAAATGGAGCAAGGCCTGGTAGGGCATTCCTTCACCTCCCCGTGCTTAAAGTACTGAGTGAAAATAGACAGAGGGTTTTGATCATATAGGGGTAAAGTCTGGGCCCCATGTTCCTCGTCCCACCTGGCTCACTTCAGAGGAATAGAGAGCCACCCACCCAGGACCCAGCCCTGAACCCTTATCACTCAGCCAGGGACACTGCAATGTCCTACTTCATGGGAACGGGACCCTTGGAAACCCATAAGCAAGCAGATGTCTGCCCCGCTCCTGGTGACCCATTAGTGATCAAAGCAGATGCCCTCCAGCCCAGTAAATGAGAGAGCCCAGGTAGTGGGATCGGGGTCGGATGGGGAGGCTTCAGAGCACACCAAAGTGGGGTTCTTGCTGGTGAGGCAGGGAACCAGTTGCCCCAGGACCTGAGGCCTCATGGGAGCCCAGCTGCATGGGTGAGTGGTCCAGGAGAGGCCGGGCCAGGAAGGAATCGAGCAGCACCAGAGTGCGGTAGGGAGTCCACAGCATAGCAAAGAGCAGCACGACCACTGCCAGCAGCCTGGTTGCCTGCAGAGTAGAGAAGGGGGAGAGCACAGCCACAAGACACAGTTGCTGCACGGGAGGAGCAGCTGACAGGCATGGCACTTTCACAGACACTGAAACCAGCATCCCAAGGGCATCTACCAGAACTGTGCCTGGGAGAGGATCTGGACTCCCTAAGACCTTCGTCTTCCAGGGAGACACCCCTGTTACAAAGCCTCTGGGCTCAGGTTGGGTCCCCAGTGGGGTTTTGAGTACCCCACCTCACCTCCGCCGTCCACTCCTTCCCATCTTCCATCCCTGCACACGCCCATCACACTCCTGAAAGGTCCCCTCTACTCAGCTTGCCCACCTTGTCTTCAGCCTCAACTCTTCTTCTTCCCTAAGCTGCTTCCCTGACCTGATTTGGTTTTCTCCCTTGCCAAGCAAGCTCGGAGCTCTATCCCGTTGTCCCCTCAGTGAGGCTCCCGAGCTTCCCTCTAACTCCCATTCGCCCAGCATCTTCATGCCTTGTTCCCTTCCTGTCTTTGATCAGGCCTGTGTTTACTTCAACTCCTGGTATTTCCTCTGTTGCAGCCCGAAGAGGGCACCTGACAGCCCTGCCACACTTTTTGCATGTCCCAGCACCCACCTGGCACATAGAGGGGACTGGCGGGCAATGGATGGCTGGCTGGATGGATGGACAAATGAGGGATCAAGAAACTGCTACATTTCATCTGCTTTTTCTGCCACACCCTGTGTCCCTCTCTATATGACCCTCCCATCTGCCACCCCCACCTGAATCCAGGGAAACCCCCGACCTGCTTCCTGGAGGACTGGGATCCCTTAGGCCTGGAGCAGCTGCCTGATACACCCTCATCCTGTCCACGGGGCTGCCTCGCCTTCTGCCAGGCCTGGTGGGACAGTGGGCTCCAGAACAGGATCCTCTCGATGAGACCGTAGAGCGCCATGGTCACCAACAGGGGCGCAACGAAGAAGACGGTGAAGTCCAGCAGGTAGACAGGCAAGTAGAGGTCATGGGACACCTTGTAGCCACATTCCAGGCGCTGGTTCTCATGGACATTGAGGTCCACCAGGACCAGAGCAGGCAGTAGATGGATGTAACCCCCCAGATGCCCATGTTGATCCATTTGGCCCAGGCCACTGTGCACACGGTCTGTGCCCTCATTGGAGGCAATGTACCTGTGGGCCACAGGCCAGGCATGTTGGCTCCTGGGACCCCAGGATCTGCCTATCTTGTGTTTGATTGGATAGTGCAGAACACCTGACCTACACTGACTGGGGTTTGTCTGGGTAGCAGGGGCTGAGCTCAGCTTTGCAAGAACAGGACTGAAAGGCTACAGAGATTTAGGGTAAGGGGGCCTCAAGAGCAAGCAGAGAATGCCAGTCAGCTCAGGAAAGGAGGGTAAAGAGCTGAGAGAAGCCCTAAGATGGCCTGTCCTAGGACCCCCGTGCCTTTGACCTCAACATGTCTCAGTGAGTTCTCTGCTGCCTTCTACCAAAAGCAAGGAGCTATACTGCACATCTCTCACAAGGAGAGCCCCTTATCCTCCATGCCTAGGCTCCTGGGGACAATTGCATGGTGTAAAGAAGACCTCCCAATGCTAACTGTGCCCCAGATGGGCACAGATAGGGATTGTAGGAGTGGGCCCAGTGTTTGGATGTGGCAGGCCTGGGCTCTGTCCAGATTCTGGGTGTCCCTGACAAGTCACTGTGCCAAGCAACCTAAGGCCTCAGCTCCTACCAAGGAAACAGCTGAGTTTGACCCCAGATTCAAGCATAGATCAGCATGTTCAACCACTATGTCATTTACCTCTGGGGTGTTAAGTCAGAACCGAGGCAGGCACAATGGTGGACACTTGCAATCTTAAGACTTAGGAGGCTGAGACAGGAGGACTGCTGTGAGTCTGAGGCCGGTCTAGAATACATAGGAAACCGTGTCTCATAAAACAAAGAACTCAAACTGGAAAAGACTAAAGAAAAGCATCATAGCTGGGCACAGCGGTACGAGCCTGTTACCTCAGCTACTCAGGAGGCTGAGGAAGGAGGACCACAAGTGCAAGGCCAGCTTTAACAAGTCCCTGTCTCAAAGAAAGTGTTTTTAAGTACTGGAGGGGCCAAGGCAATGACTTAGTGATTAAGAGCACTTGCTGCTCTTGCAGAGGACCCAGGTTCAGTTTCCAGCACCCACATAACAGCTCACAGCCACCTGTGACTTCAGTTCTAGGGGATCCAGCCCCCTCTTTGGGCACTGCACACATGCTGCACATACATACATATATGCAAGCAGAACACTCATATACATAAAATTAATTTTTGAAACAGGATCTCAACTATGTTTGTCTATCTAGCCTCAAACTCACAGAGATCCATCTGTCTCTGTCTCTCTAGTGCTGAGATTAAAAGCTTTCACCATCATGCCCAGCAAACTGGAGATATGGTTTACCCAGTATGTGGGAGGCCCTGGGTTCAATTCCCAGTAGTGAGGGGGATAAAAGAATTCCATCCAAGCTCCCATTTTCCAGAGGAGGTCAGGGGCTTTTCCTGATTCCCCACAGTAAGCTCCCCTCCTGCACAATGGAGCCTCAGTTTACCAGGAATCCTTGCTTGAAATCCAGGCTCCCGGAAAACAATGGAAAGAAGGAGGGCATGGGGCATCCTGTTGGCACCTACCTCTCCACAGTGAACGCCAGAATAGAGGAGGAAGAAACGTTGATACCTAGGCAATCAGCGTGCCCGTAGACCCAGTGCCCCACCAGGCTGTCGGAGACATTAGACAGCCCCGCAGCCACCAGCACAATGAGATCAGCCAGGGCCAGGCTGACAAGGTAGCAGTTGGTGGGTGTGTGCATGTACCTAGAGGTCAGGACCACCAGGATCACCATGGCGTTACCCACGATGCCGTGAGGTACACCAGAAGCACCAAGAAGACAGAGACTGCCTTGTACTCAGGCAAGCCCGGCATGGTGTCACCATGAGCGAGCGAGACGTTGCTGGGGCCGTCCATCTTGCTTGTGTTTTCCGTGGTGCCCCATAGACCTGGAGGGGTGGGAAGAGGCAGCTCTGAGAGGCAGCCATGCGGGGATGGACTGCATACAGGTTCTGATCCCACAAACACCTGCCCTGGGCATTGCATACAAGGACCTGGTGCTAAGCAGCAGCAACTCTACAGCTGACCAGTGAGAAAGGGACAGGTCAGTAAGTAGGTATGCTATTCAGCCACTCCCATCAGCAACAGTGAGTGGTGCCACCAAGTGGCCTCCTCTCCTGTGTGAGGGTACAGAAAACAACCATCCCACTATGGAAGATCAAGAAGGCCATGAACACAGCCAAGCCTTGCATCCGGCGCACCGTGAGGACTCAGCTGCCCACAGTCCTTATCTGCAGAGTCCCTAAGCCTCAGCACGCATACTTGTGGACAGGAAGAACAGACCTTTCTTCTTGGGAGTGTTTGGAACCTAGAAACAGAGAGGCTGGAATGTTCAGGGCCTCGACCCTGGTGAGTAACCAGTATCTGTTTGTTAGTATCATTGTGAATGTCTGAGCCTCAGTTTCCCCATCAGTCCGTGGTAACAGCAGCTCCCTCCAAGGCAAGAGTGTGTCGGATGCATAACCCCGTGACCGTGGGAAGACTATATGGCCGCAGAAAAGCAAGCGAGCACAGGGAAGACCAGTCACAGCCATGTGGGTCTCGTAGGCCGGGGAAAGGACTTGGGTTTAATTTTTGTGAATCAAGCAGTAGCTGCCAATGGTTTGTAACTAAAGAAGGAATATTCTCCAATGTGTGCCTTTAAAAGAGCTCCCTGGGACCCACAGATCCCAGGTGGGTCAGTAGAGGCAGAGCCAGAGATGAGGAGAGGGACTAGGGCTCAGCCAGGCAGCTGAGAGGGTGAGAACAGATCTGGGTCTGTCTCAGGAGATCCACGACAAGGTATTAGGGGAAGCCATCAGGGCAGCCTGCAGGGAATGGGGAGATGCTGGGGTAGGGCTCAGGTGGAAAGACAGAGGGAGGGTCAATGTAGGCCCAGATGGAGAGACTGAGGGAAGCACGGATATAGGGATCAGGTAGACATATGTTTGGGAGGCCATGGTACAAAGTACTGTGGACCCTCCACTGGGGTGGGAGTTGAGAGACAGGGTTGGAGGTCAGAATACAGTGGCTGTCAGCATAAGAAGACGCGTGGTTCTGCCACATGGAGAATTGCCTTGGGGCAAAACTGCTGCAGCTCCTGTGACGGCCATAAACTGATGCACGATGTGGCTCTGGCTCATGGCTGAGGGTGGGAGGGCACGGCTACAGAGCACGAATCCCAGAGCAGCAGCACCGGACCCTGGGGCTCCGTGGGCTCTGAGAATAACAGGGCTGAGGGTCGGGATGCAGAGGCTGGGATGCGCCAAGTGGGGAAGGTGGGAACGGGTTCAGAGAGTGAGGGAGGTACCAGAGGCCGCTCCAGCTAGCTTCCTGGGGACAACATGACTGCAAAGGGGCTGTGCTGGGAGCCAGACAGGTCAGACACCAACCTGAGAGCAAACTCAGGGGTTGGCTTGGAGCACACACACACATAAATGCCACACGACACAGCCCAGGCAAGCATAGCACACAATATACAAATACAAAAAATATATAACACACCCAACATACACAAACACACACCACAGAACAAACACAACACATAGTACTCACCCTGCATGCTCACACACCTTGACCCTCACACCCCGTCGGTTTGATTGGCCTGTAGGCGCATGCAGAGCTCAACATGGCATAAATCCCGGGAGAACGTGGATCGGCAGCAAGTCACATCGCCCAGGCCGGAAGGCCAGATGTTCACCCACTTCTGCCCAACCCGGTGCCCACAGCTCCACAAGTCACATCGCCCAGGCCGGGAGGCCAGATGTTCACCCCCTTCTGCCCACCCCAGTGCCCTCAGCCCCACAAGTCACACCGCCCAGGCCCGGGAGGCCAGATGTTCACCCACTTCTGCCCAACCCAGTGCCCACAGCTCCACAAATCACATCGCCCAGGCAGGGAGGCCAGATGTTCACCCACTTCTGCCCAACCCAGTGCCCACAGCTCCACAAGTCACATCACCCAGGCAGGGAGGCCAGATGTTCACCCACTTCTGCCCAACCTGGTGCCCACAGCTCCACAAGTCACATCGCCCAGGCCAGGGAGGCCAGATGTTCACCCACTTCTGCCCAACCCGGTGCCCACAGCGTCACAAGTCACATCGCCCAGGCCAGGGAGGCCAGATGTTCATCCACTTCTGCCCAACCTGGTGCCCACAGCTCCACAAATCACATCGCCCAGGCCGGGAGGCCAGATGTTCATCCACTTCTGCCCAACCCGGTGCCCACAGCTCCACAACCCAATTGCAGCCCTCAGGGCAGAGACTAGAGCACCAGAACAAGCAGGGCTCAGGGAGAAGCTGTGGTTCCAGGATGCTGCCCACACACAATACGCACCTGTGTACACAGCACATTACACACAGCTGTACACATGCAACACAGAGCAGTCTGGACCCATGCAACCCACATGCATACACAAGGCTCCTGTGCACATACATGTACAGTGCACCTGTGCATGTGGAAGACATTTACACATACAGCACACATTTGAGCACATATCCAGCTATGCTCATGCACACACAGACATACACAGCACATAGATAGACTATATATAACATATATAAACACAGTAAATACACAAACATACAAAGAAAAAAAATCACATCACATCCAACATGCAGTGACCACCCATACAGAGGCACAACAAACCTTATGCACATGTGTAACACATGTTCTGTAAGCACATATAACATTTAGCCCCCACATGCATATCCAGTGCCCATAGTACAGAAGCCAAACATACACACACACACACACACACACACACACACACACATACAAACACAGCACATGTTGACTCTCTATAGTCCAGGCATACTTCACTGCCTACTCTCATATGCCCACATGGAAACATGCACATAGCATGCCTAACCACCCCCCCATATCCACACAGCTGGTACACTTCTGAAAACCAGGCCTTTCTGGTTAACTGGAGCAGAGGACATTAGGATCCGCAGGATCTGGCAGCTCTTTTCTCTGCAGTCAGCAGGAGGCTGGTAACCAGGGTTGAATCCAGAGACCTCACAAGCCTCCTCCAGATGTGGGAGCCAGAGCTGCAGAGCTCCATTCCTGGCCCACACCTGCTCCCCCACCTTCTCTGCAGATGCCTGAGTGGGGACTACTGTACACCATGTCCCAGCCAGAACCCCCAGCTCTCAGCCTCTAGACCTCAAGAGAAACTTCTAAGGCCAGAGAACTTACCCAGGGAAGACTCAGTGCCTCTTTCTCCTTCCAGAGAGAGGGAGGGAAAGAGAGAGGAGAGAAGGGGGAAAGAGGGAGGGAGCAGAGAAAGAGAGAAAGAAGGAGGGAGGAAGAGAGGGAGAGGGAGGGAGGGAGGGGGGAGAGAGAGAGAGAGAAACAATGCCTGCACCTCAATCATTCCGTGCAGAGGCTTTGCATTCTGCAGGATGCAGTGACACACATATGCGCGTGTGCACAGACACACACAGCCTCGCCAACTTCTCCAAGCTCCTCGGCTCCCCTCTCACCCTCCCCCTGCCCAGTTAAGAGCCCCAGTGCCAACCTGCATCAGCATCAGCAGCCTCAACCTCTCCATCAGTGGGACCTCAAGAGAGGAAGCAGGGATGTTGCTCCCTACCCAGACTGGGTGGGAGTAGCTCTCAGGAGTTTATCTGGTTGCCAAACACCGCCTCCATGCCGACTGAGCAACACACTACCTGTCTGCAAGAAGCAGAGTCCAGAAAGGACCTGGGGAGTGAGGCCAAGGTGAGGCTGCAGCCCCAACTTGAGCCCTGTGGATGAGCCCCATTATCCATGGAATTAGGCTGGGATTGATGGGGATGGGGCGTTTGGGGTCTAAAATATGAAGGCGATTCTGATGTCCAGCTGCCCTGAGGTGACCCGGGATGCAAAGGAACAGAAAAACAGACACCACTTCTAGAGCAGACCAAAGTCCAGAGACAGGGGGTCCTAGGAGGAAACTGAGTCAGGAAGAACTGTGCCCAAATAGGTGTCAGAGGAGCCAGGGTGCTCCAGGCCCTTCCTCCTGGTGCTGAAGCCTGGGCCCCCCAGCAAAGGACTTACACAGCTCCTCTAGTCAGGGGCAGTGGGGGGTGGCACTTTTCTAGTACTCTGGGAAGAGAGAGCTGAAGAGCCCTTTAGCTGGTATAAAAACCAAGAACCCAAGCAAAGCATGGCGGTACACACCTGCCATCCCAGCATTCAGGGCAGCTGAGGCAGGAAGGGCCAAAGTTCCACACAGTCTGAGCTACATAGTAAGACCCTATCTCAAAAGAGGTGGCGAGGAATAGAGAAGTGGGGAGCCTGGGAAGATGACTCAGTTGGTAAAGGGCTTGCTGTGCAAGCACAAAGACCTAAGTTCAGATTCCCCAGCACCCACATAAAAGTTCAGAGTGGCTGTGTGCATCTATAATTCCAGCACTAGAAAGGCAGAGAGCCTTGGAGCTCATTGGTCAGTGAGCCTAGCCAAGTCTGTGAGCTCCAGATCCAATGAGAGACCCTGCCTCAAAATATGAGGTGGGCGACACCTGATGTTGACCTCTGGCCTCCACATACACAAGCATGCACCTATACATGAACTCGTACATACACAAAAAAAGAAAAGAAAAAAAAAATCAGAGACCCAGGGATACTCCCACCAAGAGGTTAACTCGAAGGATTTTAAAATGCAGGCTCCAAACTGCTGTGACTGCAGGCACACACCTCAGGACCAAGCAGGGGACCAGCTTCCCTGCAGCCTCCTGGGTCACACGACAGAGAATCACAGGCTTTATGTTGGTTCCCTTGGGTGTGAATTTTACCAGCTGCCCCTCTGAAAATCCTGTGATCCCTTATGCCTTCTTCATTTTTTATACTTTCATCATGAAGTAGATTTAACAGTGCAGTGCATTCCAAGAACAT